GTGGGGAAAAAAACGAGTCTGATTTAAATGTCACATCTGAACGCTCACATCTTTTTAATTATGTTTGAAATTATGAACATTGCTCAACATCATGAAAATTAAACCTTATTTTCAATAAGCAATCCTGAAAAATATTTGGAGGTGCTTAACTTTTTTCCAGGTGTAAATTTTCTGTAAGGTAAATCAACCATTACTGTTGAGACAATGTACTACCATGTCATCCAAGCACCTCTAGTATAAGTATATGATGCATGCCATGTTCTACAAGGTAAATCAACCATTACTGTTGAGACTATGTACTACCATGTCATCCAAGCACCTCCAGTATAAGTATATGATGCATGCCATGTTCTACAAGGTAAATCAACCATTACTGTTGAGACTATGTTCTACCATGTCATCCAAGCACCTCTGGTATAAGTATATGATGCATGCCATGTTCTACAAGGTAAATCAACCATTACTGTTAAGACTATGTACTACCATGTCATCCAAGCACCTCTAGTATAAGTATATGATGCATGCCATGTTCTACAAGGTAAATCAACCATTACTGTTAAGACTATGTACTACCATGTCATCCAAGCACCTCTAGTATAAGTATATGATGCATGCCATGTTCTGTAAGGTAAATCAACCATTACTGTTGAGACTACATACTACCATGTCATCCAAGCACCTGTAGTATAAGTATACGATGCATGCCATGTTCTGTAAGGTAAATCAACCATTACTGTTGAGACTACATACTACCATGTCATCCAAGCACCTCTAGTATAAGTATATGATGCATGCCATGTTCTGTAAGGTAAATCAACCATTACTGTTGAGACTACATACTACCATGTCATCCAAGCACCTCTAGTATAAGTATATGATGCATGCTATGTTCTACAAGGTAAATCAACCATTACTGTTAAGACTATGTACTACCATGTCATCCAAGCACCTGTAATATAAGTATATGATGCATGCCATGTTCTGTAAGGTAAATCAACCATTACTGTTAAGACTATGTACTACCATGTTATCCAAGCACCTGTAGTATAAGTATATGATGCATGCTATGTTCTGTAAGGTAAATCAACCATTACTGTTGAGACTACATACTACCATGTTATCCAAGCACCTGTAGTATAAGTATAAAATCTGCTAATACAAAAGCACACTGTACAGCTATACGATATACATATTCTTCAAAGATGACAAAAAATCTGTTAACATATATAAATGTCACTACATTGTATGCTCTCCTACCAAATTTTCCTATTAGTCTGTGCACTGAACAGTTAAACTAAGAATCCAAAGGTATTGTAAAACTTACTATATATCCCAAGGAAATTTGTTTTAACTGTGTATGAAGATCTTCATGTGTAGCACCTTGGCCCCATAATTTGAAGGCTGATCTGAAAATATAAACCATTTTCAAAACATTGAAATTTTAATTGAGAGCTTTTTCATTCCATAATATAAAGTTTTGCTTAGAACATAGTTCTAAGACTAATTTGAAGTTACTTACAATATTCACTAACTTGTCATATAGTAATAACATATTTATGAAAAATGTATTTTCTCATTCCAAAAACTACTTAAAGTTGATAATTTTCCTATACTGAAAAAATATTTCTGATAAGTATTTACCTCCTCTCACAAGATAAGCTATTCTCGTTCAGTGCTGCCCTCTATATGCAAACATTTTCTTCACGCATGCCACAAGCCTTGTGCTCCTTCCTTGTTGAAATTAGTACATTCCAACGTATCTTTCGTGCAAATCATCATGCAGCATCTATTAACCAATAGTAGCATAGTATGCTCATGTGATGCATGTGACTCCCTCTACACTCCTCTACCAAACCTTCATTTTAAAGTTTGGCAGAAGGTGTGAGCACTGGGGAAGTGAGGAGGAAGGGTGAGAGGAGGTAAGTACCTATTGGAAATACATTTTCAGTATAGGAAAATTATAGCTTCTGATATGGTACTTCCCTCCGCTTACAAGATTAGCCAGAATCCCACATTGAGAAGGAGGACGGAATGGTGCGAGGGAATAACAGATTCACCCATGAAAGCATTCAAAGGATACCCCTGACCACGAAAGAAAGAGATCCAGATTCATAAAACACATGGGTGGAAATCACGAGATGTAGGTTGGCTAGGGCACATCGGACCATACTTGGCAAGTCAACTATATCCAAAACCTCCTCTATGGGGTATCAACATCCATGCAAGGGTAGGATGAGAACTGAGGATTAAGATCTGCTCCAATTCCTGGGTACTACACAAGGATCAACACCCTACAGCAATCCAGGACTGGCCATCTGGCATCAAGATGATGGATTCAACTTTTGCAAAGACTTATATTGATTGGTTCACTCGAATCCAACACCTCAATGCTGGGAACAGACTTCCATGAGAAGGTAGGATGAGGGCTTCCAATCAAAAGGGGTGATCTGCATGTATTATGGATCAACTCCATGTGGTATGGAATGTGTAATAGGAGGCCATGACAACCATTAAAGTGATGGGTCAACTCCAAGTAGTATTAATAGTATAAGGAGACCACATCACCTTGTAAAGTGATGGATCAACTCCAGTGGTTGTGGATATTGTTGATTATGTAAATACTATAAAGAGGCCACATCATCCAGGAAGGTGACAGATCAACTCCAATAATAGTGTAAATTGTATCAGGAGGCCACGTCCACCAGCAAGGGGACAGATCATCTCCTGTGGAGGCCACATCTACACTAGCAGAACATCACCACCCTACTCTCGACTGAATGGTTACAGCCAACTTGTTGGTGGAACCCATTCAGGAGGGTACCTCCATGGTCAACCACCCCAGTGGCTTGGAACTAGAAAGCAGCAAGGACTCTCATACTCAACACAACGAGGGGAGGAGAGGGGTAGAATGAGTTGGAGAGTCTGGAGGAACATTACCACCAGAAACAGTGAAATGGGTGACCACAATACCCTATTTTGAAAAGCAGACCACATAGAGTCATTCACTCCAGGCATGGCAAGGCTGGGCAGCTATCCCCTTATGTTTGTATCCATGTCATCCATGGGTGATATTGTCTGGAATGGACATATTTATGAAGCAACTATTGCAAGGTAGATAACCTTCCAGCGGACTTGTGGAACACCTCATTTCTACGGTGAATGTGTGGAGCCATAGACAATAGAGCATGAGTCCACATGGCTTACACTGCAGATTTTAAGTTAAAGAATACCTGGTCAGGCACCACTCTCCACAGAGTGGGAGCTGTGTAAAAAAATGGGAATAAAGAAATGTCCCTGAAAAAGAGGAAAAGGAATAAAACTTAACAGCTGAAATCATATTGAAGTCTGGAGCATGGTCATAGGTAGAAGACAAAATCCCGACGAGGAGGAAAGCTCAATGTGAGGAAAATAACTGGAGATGAAAATACTGGGAGTGGTCCACATGCCAGCTTGGAGAATCTCCTCCAATGAACAATGAAGACTGAAAGTGAGGGAAAATGTAAGATGATGAATTTGATGAGACGACACATCGAATAAGGCATGGGAGGAAGCAGGTAAAGAGGGGTAGACCAAGTGGACCAGAAGGCAGACCCAATTCATAAGGGTAGAAGGGGAAAGATCAAGAAGAGAGGAGGATTACCAGGGAATCAAAAGATGGTTGCGCATACCCTGGAGGGTAGCTGTATGTGTAATATAATACTGTAGGTCCTGACGGGACACAGTAGTATATCAGGGTCGGGACGAGGGTAAAGATGGGAGCTATAAGGTAGAGAAATAGGATAAAAGAAGGAACAACATTCTCAAGCTGCCATGGTCTGGGGGATAAAGAAATTATCAGGATAAAGGAGAAGATAGGTAGGATGATAAAGGGTATGTGAAACATCAACGGCAAATAAATCAGATTGGCAATGTCTGTAGGTCAAAAGGAGAAGGATATAGGTCTTAAGAGACAAATGAAACAAGGAACATTAAGAAAGTGGAGGGAGAGTCAGGGCATGGAGGACCACATTAATGTCCTAATTCATAAGGGGAGGACACCTGCAGGCCTCTGAATCCAGAAGTAATGCACAAGCATAGTGAGAACAGGGAAAGTAAAAACCCTATGACATCTGGAGAAATGAAACGTACGGAAAAAGGCTGCCCTAAGTCCAGAAATTGAAGAGACAGAAGACCAACAGTCAAAGAGACAGGTGAGAAATTCTGCCACCCATAGACCCGAAGGCTTGGCGGCAGGAAATCCCTTACCAGCAGACCAACAGTGGAAGACCTTCCACTTGTGTTGGTAAACTTCCATGGAAGATGGATGAATGGAAGTAGCTAACAGGGAGGCAACATGTGACGAAGGATCTCCCCATCAAGGGCCGGACAAAAGCCAGGCATGAACATGAAGGATGGGAAGATTGGGATGAAGAGCATGGGATTGAGGTTGATGCAAAAGAGAGGGAACAGGGATAGGTGGTGAGAGAAGTAGACACTGGAGCCTCGGAAACCATGGTAGTGCTGGCCAATGGGGTGCAATCAGAAGGACCCAATAAGGAGTGGAGTGTATTAGAAAAATCACCCAATGAAGCAAATGGATGGGAGGGTACACACTGAGGTATTTGTGAGATCAATTCTGGCTGAAGGCATCGACAGCCAGAGCCTGTGGATGTGGGACAGGTGACCAAAAGAAGGGCAACTTTGTATTGAGGCCCATGGTAAATGTATTGGAGGCAAAGGTCTCTGAAAATGATCAGATCTAATGACCACTCTATTGGATAGATTCGGTCCAGACATGAGAGAAGATCTGCTACCACATTGAAAGCACCCAGAACATGACATGTGAGAAGACAAATGTGATGTGCCTGGGTCCAGTATAGAAGATCCAAGGTCCAGAAATAAAGATCTCTGGACTGGGTTCCCCTTGGGGGTTGTTATGAGCCACCACCATAGAATGAAACATCGCCAGATGGTGATGAGTGAGATAAAGGAAGTGAGATAACACCCAACGAACCATCAGAAGTTTGAGAACATTGATATGCAAGACGAGTTCGCCTGCAGACCAACAGCCCAAAAATTCGTGGTGATTGACCGCCCCCCCCCATCCGGATGCAGGGGAGGAAGTGACACACTCACCGGCGTATGGGCTTTGTTGAGTCACCACAGCAGATCGACTCTCAGGAAAGGAGGAAGGGAAATGATGGCAGAAAGAGAATCCTGTGCAAGGTTCTATCATTCATGAAGTGTCCACTGCAAGGATCTCATATGGGCACAATGGATGGGTAATAATGCAGTCCTGAAAGATCACATTCCCAAAAGAGATAGAACCTCTCGAGCAGTAAGTGACCAAGCTGAGAGGGCACAGTGAACTAAAAGTTCCACAGAACTGAAGCATGAAGGAGAAGGGAGAGCTCAACTGATGTTGGTGTCGAAGAAAACCCCCAAATGCACTGTAAAGTATTGGGCGGGTCGAAGGACCGACTTCTCCAATTTGATTAAGCATCCCACTCAAGCTGCCATAGAAAGGAGTTGGTGAGTGTGATTGGTTGATCCTGCTCAAAATGAGCTAAAAGTTGCCAGTCATCCATGCAACGATGAAAAAGCAACCCCAAAGTATAAATATGATGAACAAAGGCCTGAATGACGCGACAAAACATGTATGGAGCTGAGGCTAGTCTGAAGGGGAGTGCCCAAAATTGGTAAACTACCCCCAAAATGAACAAATTGAAGATAAAGATGGGATTGAAAGGGCATCAGGATGTGGAGATAGGCATTGGAGACATCCATTTTTGTCATCTACAATCCCGGGGAAAAACACCCATCTCAGGGTGAGAAAGGACTCCACAGTGAACTTGGAGAGTGCAATGAAGCAGTTGAGTCATGACAAATTGATGACCGGTTGCCAATCCCAGATTTTCTTGGGGTCTACGAAAGGACGGGAGTAAAACCTCTTGAAGGAATGGTGAACTGGTTCAATAGCCCACTGTGAAAGCAAATCCTGAAATGCCTCTGACAGATGCTGGCGAGTCACAGGATCTTGAGGAAGAAGAAAGGAAATGGGGTGAGGAGAAATGAGAGGTGGGGAAAGAAATATGAGAATGAGTCCTTCTGAAAGAACCATTGTCACCCATTGATCCTCGAACAAAGGGGAGCCAGCGAGGAAGAAAATCCAACAAACAAGCTTCCACAAACTCCAAATCCACCAGGTAGTCACAAGTACTGTTGACAACATGCAATACGTCGGCGATGACCTCGATGAAAGAAGTATCCGTATTTGAAGGAACGGGTAAAGGATGGGAGCACAAAGGACAGAAAACTGGAAGAGGTGGCATGGAAGGCTATAGTCAATACAAACGGTCCACAAAAGTTAAAAGGAGTGGACTGTTGTCGGGCAGATGTTACCCACAGCTTGATATCCTCAGGGGTGGTGTCAAAGACATAATGTCAGAGAAAAGGAACAAGACATAAATCTCTGAAATAAGTGGAGGTTAAACAAACATGAGTCAGAATAGAGTCCATACCGAGAAGGTACCAACAACAAAGAAACCACATATGTAACTTGAGAGCCAAGGACGAAATTTGGGCCAAAGTGGAAGAGAGAAGTGTAGTAAGGGTAAGACAAAAGCGAGAATATTGGGCATGTATGAGACTAACATTAGATTCAGGAGCTATCCCCAAAGAGGTAATAAGGAACCCAACAATTAGTGACCCAAAAATGGATATTTTGCCTGATGGTAAGCAAGGACATACTGATCAGAGTCTCTTGAGGGGCACGACATACTGATCCCTTCACCTAACTGGGAGAGAAAGTGATCTGCATAGAGCCAAATATTATGAGAGAGAGGAAATAACAAAAATGGTTGAGAAGAATACTCATGCAACAAAAAAGGATGAGAGGAATAAGAAATAGGGGAAACAGACAAAACATCATAATCCTGAGTTACAAAATCTGTGAAAGCTGAGGAGGGCCTACACGAGCTTCAGGCTGGAACTGAGAAGGAATGGCAAACTCGGGAGGAGGGAAAAAATTATCAAAATCATCGTCATCCTGAATAATGGCAGCAGAATCTGAAAAAGCTCGGGCGATGTCAGGGGACAAACGGTGACTCAAGTAGTATTCAATCTCCTGACAGACAAAATCAGAAAGATCCACAGTCGAGTCCCCCACACTTGAAGCCTGAGATATAAGACTGGTCATTGATGTGACCCCCAAAGTGGTCATGTTGACTTCGGGACACATAACTCATGAAAACTGCACAAAATTGTCTAGAGTAGAAAATAAATGATAATAAACTCAAAGAAATGTGGTAATGTACAACCAAACAAAAATCAAAAATGTGTCACATGGGAAGTGCAAAACACAAAAGAAAACATCTGTACTAAACAGCTGCCAAACAAAAAAGGGAAGGTTCAATACAGGAGTGTAGAGGAAGTCACATGCATCACGTGCGTATACTATGCTACTATTGGTTAATAGATGCCACATGATGATTTGCATGAGACACACATTCGAATTTACTAATTCCTACAAGGAGGGAAAGCAAGGCTTGTGGCATGCATATAGAAAATTTTCTCATATAGAGGGCAGCACTGAAAAAGAATAGCTAATCTTCTGAGAGATGTAAGAACTGTATCGGAATCAACAACTGAACTTATTTTCTAAATAAATAAACCTCTTGTTCAAGAAAGAAGTAATACATCTTTCTACAAATTCATTATTCTAGAATTATTAACCAAGCTATCCCACACTCAAGCAAGTCAGCACTGTGCTACACACTTCCTATTATACACTCCAGCAAGTCAGCAGTGTGCTTGATACACTTCCTATTGTACACCCCAGCAAGTCAGCAGTGTGCTTCACACACTTCCTATTATACACCCCAGCAAGTCAGCAGTGTGATTGATACACTCCCTATTGTACACCCCCAGGAAGTCAGCAGTGTGCTTGACACACTCCCTATTGTACACCCCAACAAGTCAGCAGTGTGCTTCACACACAGCCTATTATACACCCCAGGAAGTCAGCAGTGTGGTTGATACACTCCCTATTGTACACCCCAGGAAGTCAGCAGTGTGCTTGATACACTTCCTATTGTACACCCCAGCAAGTCAGCAGTGTACTTGACACACTTCCTATTATACACCCCAGCAAGTCAGCAGTGTGATTGATACACTCCCTATTGTACACCCCCAGGAAGTCAGCAGTGTGCTTGACACACTCCCTATTGTACACCCCAACAAGTCAGCAGTGTGCTTCACACACATCCTATTATACACCCAAGGAAGTCAGCAGTGTGGTTGATACACTCCCTATTGTACACCCCAGGAAGTCAGCAGTGTGCTTGATACACTTCCTATTGTACACCCCAGCAAGTCAGCAATGTGCTTGATACACTTCCTATTGTACACCCCAGCAAGTCAGCAATG